AAAATTATCAGGCATGCAGAGAGGCAGGAGCATGTGCCTATAATGAGTCATTTGAAAGTGATCCAGAAATGACATATGCTAGAAACAGTGAACAAGGACATTGAAAATTACCATAACTGTTTTCTGTGTGTTCAGAGATTGGAGACAATGGAAGATACAAAGGAAACCCAAACTCAAACTCACAGAGACGAAAACTGTGATGTCAGATGAACACTGACTGTCGTGAGACAGTGGCAGAGCAGGGCAAAGGGGTCAGATAGAAGGCAATGGACCCTTCACAGCTGACACTGCCCACACCGGCTAGCTCCGTAAGGTGATCTGTTTTTCATAGACTGGACATGCACCACACATATTTGTCAGCACAGCAGGCCTGGTTCCTTGCAACACCACCTATGTGTGTTGACCTGTCTGTCACAGCCCCTTGAGTGGCTGGCTCACAGGGGCTAGCTACTATGTGCCCTTGCTGAGACAAGCATTTACAGGTGGGGAAAAATGAGCACTGGCAGTGTGGGGACTGGGAGGGCTTTGTAAGTGACAGGCAACACCAAGAGGCTGGACACAGTGGGAGGCAAGTCCCAAAATGTAGCTCCAGAAGAGACTGAAGCAGATGAGCAAATGGTCAGAATAAGAATTGTAACTTTGTCCTGAGGAAAATGGGCAGGTATCCAAGGTTTTTGAGGAAAGAAATACTAATGTTTATCTTAGAGTGACTCTGGCAGCATTTGGGGGGGGGGGAGCGGTTGCCAAGGCCTGGAGACTGGAAGGTCTAGTAAAAACCCATAGGAGATGCCGAAGGTCTGCACTAAGTGAGGATAGAGAGGAAAGAACAGGTTGGGGGGTTAGAATGATAGAGATTATGTGGATAGAGTCTTTACTCATTTGAGCTGTGTTAAGAAAATACTTAGGCCGGGTCATTTACAAATGGAAATTTATTGCTGATAGCTTTGGAGGCTGGCAAGTCCAAGTTCAAGGCAGCAGAGCCCTGATGAGGGTTGCTCTCTGCTTCCAAGATGGCACCTTCTCACTGCATCTGCACTCGGGGAAGAGGGAAGGAAGCCTCGCTTATAAGGGCACTAATTTCCATGTTTGAAGGGGGAAGCCTTCAGGGCTTAATTACTTCCCAAAGGGGAGTGGAGGACTTTTAGGTGGGACTAACATTCAGACCACAATAAGGAGGCAGTAAGAAACAAGAGTTGAAAAGCGATAATAGTGGCTAACACTCATTGCTTACTCTGTCAGGCAGTGCTCTGAGTGATTGGTATATGTGTGGTTACTCATTTAATATTCCCCATAAAGTGATGAACCAGGTGCTATTATTGGTCTCTATTTTGTTTTATTTGATTTGATTTTATTTTAAGACAGAGTCTCACCCTGTTGCCCTAGGTAGAGTGCAGTGGGGTCAGCCTCACTCACAGCAGCCTCAAACACCTGGGCTCACATGATCCTCCTTCCTCAGCCTCTTGAGTAGCTGGGACTATAGATGCCCACTGCAATGACCAGCTAATTTTTTTATTTTTAGTAGAGATAGGGGCTAGTTCTTGCTTGGGCTGGTCTCAGATTCCTGAGCTCAAGGGATCCTCCTGCTTCAGCTAAGAATTACAGGTGTGAGCCACTACACCCAGCCTAGTTTCCTTTTTAGGTGAGGAAACTGAGGCACAAAAAGGGGAAGTAACTTGTACTTGACTGGTAAGCAGCAGAACTTGTGTTTGAACACAGGCAGCTTGCTTTGGCATGCCCTTAACTCTCACTGCCTGTCACTGGCTCTGGTCAGAGTTGGTTCCCCCTCAATGTCCTGGTCTTTCTTGATTTGATGATGTAGAGATAAGTTTGCAGTGATAATGGATGGAACATTCGTCCCTTAACTGTTTGCTGAGTGATAGCCATGAGACTGTGTTGGGTGCATGGATTAGGAAGACAAATGAGAGGTGGGGAGTTGGTGGCCCCAGTGAGGTCTAACAGGGAAGTGGTAAGTAAGGAGACCATCACTGGGTGTTGTGGGAGAAGAGCGAGCACAGAAGGCTTTGAAAGACACAGCCGGCTGGCGTGATCCAGATCTGGGGTGTCCGGGAAGGTTGCCTAGGAATCCCCATCTGGGCACAGAGGGATGCACAGACATCAGCTAAGGGAGAAGCATCGTGAAGGCTGGGCATCTGCTCACCAAGTAGGAGCCAGTGTCAGAGAGGTCTTGGGGAGCCTGGAACGATCAGAATCGCACCATGAGTAGTCAGAGCAGACCAGACAGGGAGCGTCCGCAGCACTGAATGCCTGAGCTGGGAGATTGAGAAGTCCTCCCTACATGGGGCCATGACCTCCAACCATCCCTTAACACCATTTCCCCCATTCTCTACCTCCTTCAAAGTAAACGGCCCTTCCCCTGGTAGTCCAGTGGTTAGTTGATTTGGCCTTCTTGCTGCCAGGCCCAGATTGGTTTCCCAGTCATTTGAATAGAAGAAAACAAAACTTAAAAGCAAAAGAAATCAGGGCATAGTGGCTTAGGCCTGTAATCCTAGCACTCTGGGAGGCCAAGGTGGGTGGATCTCCTGAGCTCTAAAAATAGAAAAACTAGCCAGGCATCATGGCAGGTACCTATAGTCCCAGCTACTCAGGAAGCTAAGGCAGGAGGATTGCTTGAGCCCAAGAGTTTGAGGTTGCTGTGAGCTGTGATACCATGTCACTTTATCCAGGGTGACAGAGTGAGACTGTCTTCGAAAAAGAGCACTTATTCTCTGTATCAAAGTCCTGTTCTCAGGTTCTCTCTCTTTTTTTTTCATTATTTTAGTTTTATATTTTGAGGCAAAGTCTCACACTGTTGCCCAGGCTAAAGTGCCATGGCGTTGTCATGCAACCACACCCTGCTAGTTTTTTCTATTTTTAGTAAAGATGGAGTCTCACTCTGGCTTAGGCTGGTCTCGAATCCTGAGCTCAAGCATTTACCTGCCTCAGCCTCCCAGAGTGCTGGGATTACAGGCGTGAGCCACTGCTCCTGGCCTTAGGCTTCCCTTTATCCGTGAAAGCTTCATTTCCATCTCATGGAGGTGCAGTTAGCTGACCTAAACAATTGTATCGTTCGTGCTTTTCCTTTGCTCTCCCGTCATGCTGTCCTCACAGTCCACATCCTGTGTTCTGCTGTGTGTTTTCATAGTGCCGTTTAGTTCTTGGTATCTTTATCCCCAACTTCCCCAGTGAACGTGAAATCTCCTTGTGTCCCCTTTACCTTGGGCACAGTGCCTCATGTGCGCTGGTTTTCTGGAAGGCTCTGAGATTGCTGTGGCTCGTTTGTATGTGGCAGAGACCAGAGGGAACTGCTTGTGTCAAGAGAATACCTTTAAGCAAAACTGACTGCAGTGTTAGGTTGCAGTCCACACACATGGAGAATCAGGTGTCTGCAAACTGAAGTCTCCCGGCCAGGGCTGGGTTTGAACCTGCCACCTCCAGCATATGGGGCCGGCGCCCTACTCCTTTGAGCCACAGGCGCCGCCTAAAGTGTATTTTTAAAGTACTCTTAATAAAGCGTCCATCATTTTTTTTCAAAATATTGTGGAATGCGAGAGACAGGTTAAGAATTGCAGCCCTGGGTGAGGGGGCTGGGGCAGGAAGAAAATGGGGAGATAGGTTCAGCGCCTGTAGCTCAAGTGGGTAGGGCACCAGCCACATACACTGGAGCTGGAGCTGTCGGGTTCAAATCCAGCCCGGGCCGCCAAACAACAATGACAACTACAACCAAAAAATAGCTGGGTGTTGGGGCGGGCGCCTGTAGTCCCAGCTACTTGGGAGGCTGAGGCAAGAGAATCGCTTAAGCCCAAGAGAGTTGGAGGTTGCTGTGAGCTGTGATGCCATGGCACTCTACCCAGGGTGACAGCTCAAGAGTCTGTCTCAAAAAAAAAAAAAAAAAAAAAGAGAAAGAAAGAAAGAAAGAAAATGGGGAGATAGAGGTCAGAGGCTGCAAAGTAGCAGTCATGTGGGATGAAGAAGTCTTGAGATCTTATGTACACTAAGGATATGGATAATGATTTGTTCTATGTATGGGATCATGGTAAATGACTTAGCTGCTCTTGCCACAAACACACAAAAAATGGGTAACTATGTGAGATGATGAATATATTAATTAATTCCTTTTGTCATAGGAATTTTTTTTTTTTTTTGCAATTTTTGGCCAGGGCTGGGTTTGAACCTGCCACCTCAGGCATATGGGGCCGATGCCCTACTCCTTGAGCCACAGGCACCGCCCCATAGGAATGTTTTTAATTATCTACATGCATGTATATAATAAACTTTATTTAAAAAGAATTGAACTGTAATTAGCTCAACAATATAAATAATGTTAAATAACATTTTACCTTGGGTACCTGGTGGTCTAGGGGTTAGGATTAAAAAAAAAAATCAATATCTAAATTTTGGCAGTGGCTCATACTTGTAATCCCAGTACTCTGGGAGACTGAGGCGGGAGGATCACCTGAGCTCAGGAGTTCCAGACCAGGCTGAGGAAGAGTGAGACTGTCTCTACTAAAAATAGAAAAATTAGCTAGGAGTAGTGGCAGGTGCCTATAGCCCCAGCTACTTGGGAGGCTGAGGCAGGAAGATGACTTGAGCCCAGGCATTTGAGGTTGCTGTGAGCTAGGCTGACACCACTGCCCGTCAGCCCATCAGAAGATGAGAGGTAGAGAGCAACAGAGTAAAAACTCTGTCTCGAAAAGAATAATATAAGTTTTGAGGGCTTGAAGAAAATGATTTGCTTAAAGCTCATTATGTATTACTTAGTGAGATGTATTATAGAAATAATTGAATTAAGATTTCCTTTATCCATTTTAAAACTTATTTTTACCAAGTTGTATATACTAGTTATTTACAGAAGGTATTGTTAAAAATTTGGCTTTAAGTAGGGAATGTGTTCTCTTGCGTCTAACTGATGTAATGGTTTTAAAAGCTTTGTAGATTTGTTTTGGAAGTACAATCTAGAATATGTTGATTTTTGTCTTGCTTCTGTTTTTCTGCCCCACCAGGGCTCCTTGGATGTCACCCAGAGTGTTGAAGATGACCCACTTCTGGATGCCCCGCTTTTGCCACATCACTCACTACATGCTCACTTCAGACCCAGGTTCCATCCTCTCCCTACAGTCCTCGTAGTCAGTCTTCTGCTCTTCACACATGTGAGTGTCTGGGAGGAAGCTCTATCCAGAGAGGATGTTTGTAAAACTTGGGCCATTACTATTAACATTTATAGTATACATAATTTTTGCTCCCATCTCTCCGTCAGAGAATTTATTGTGGAGAGAATTTATGTGGACGTGATGATTTGCGTGTGTGTAGGACATTTTGATAATAACAGTGTTGCTTGTCGGATCAAGGGACTGTGAACTACCTGCCATTCAGAGGACACTTTGCATGTCCTGCCCATAGAGAGGAATGCTGTCTGTTAGAAATGAAACAGGGTGGGTGTGTACAGTGCATGGGTATGGAAGAGCCTTCATGATTACCTTGTCGCCTGGCAAGAACCAGGTTTATAACATTGTATTCAGAATGTTCCTATTTGCAGTTTTTAAAAGGGAGTTGTTTGTACTCCTGCATGGAATAACTTTCTAGAAGCTTTCACAGACCCTATTAACTCTATTGCCTCTGTGGTGGGGTCAGAAGGCCTTGGTAGATGTGATGCTAATATATTTCACTATTTACTTTTTGTACTATTTAGTTTTTTCTTTTAACCAAAAGCATGTATTACTTCTTTCAGTTACTGAAAAAAAAAAAAAAGATTTAGGTAAGTTTACATATTGACATGGGAATGTATCCATTCACCTACTCCCAGGCTAAGCAGAGAGATCAAGGTGTAGCAGAAAAGCACTGTCTGTGTCGCAGCTGCAAATGCCTGAGGTTTGCAGCAGCACTTGTGGGAAAGGTTTATAGTAGGCCTTGGTGGGGGTGGCCCAGCTTCAAGTCTGTGAACTCATTTCCTCCATTCTGATTATTGCGATTGGAAGTGCTAGGGGTTATAGTTGTTCTTTGCGACAAATGTGAAAAATCAAAGAAAGGGCAAGTTCTTGTCACTACTTGGGTGTTTATGAGGACAGTGGATGGGGTCGACTGAGTCTCATAGTGGCTCTTCTAGCCTCCTTCCAGCAGATCTGCCCACCTGCAAGCAGCACACCCCAAGACATCCCCCTGCAGTTAGGTCTTTGTGGGATGAGTCACTTCAGAGCTGAACCACTGGCCAGGGGGGCATCCGTTTCCCTTGAGGGATCTTGTAGGCGTGGCATGGTTCTGCCTTGGCTTCACTATGTGCCATGGCGTCACAGCTCACAGCAACCTCAAACTCTTGGGCTTAATTTGTTCTCTTGCCTCAGCTTCCCAAGTAGTTGGGACTGCAGGTGCCTATGACAATGCCCAGCTATTTTTTTGTTGCAGTTGTCATTGTTTAGCAGGCCTGGGCTG